ATTTCTTTCATGAGTATAGTAGTGACAGGACTATATGTTTGCTCTGCTATTACCAATACTCTGTCAATGTTTTTATTTCTTTCATGAGTATAGTAGTGACAGGACTCTATGTTTGTTCAGCTATTACCAATACTCTGTCAATGTTTTTATTTCTTTCATGAGTATAGTAGTGACAGGACTCGATGGATTGAAGCTGTAACTCCTCCAACTTCAGAGAATCCCAATGAAAGAATTTATGAACATTGGGGTAAGTTGTAGTGATGTTTTAATTTTCTATCAGGCTTTTTCTTTTCTGGTGGTTTTATTGACACTAGAAACTTGTTAACTATTGTAAGGAACTAAAAATTATTACTACAGTAAAGTTTTAAAATATATATGTTTTAATTTTGAGCTTCTTTGAAATAATATTGGAAAGATAATTTGGTTTATCATTTTGTATGCATTGCTGTAATTAATGTGTATTCTACTGTTTAATTTGACACAAAATTCCAAGTTAAATTTTTTAAGATGACAAGGATATATATAGTAGAGATGGCTGATACGGGTATAGAAAACTTATTTGAAAAGAGCAAAACAAATAACGTTTCAACCTCCTTAGGTCATCATCAGGTTGGGAATGAGATTTGAAAGAGTGACTGTTATTGATCACATTGTCATAGAGATGGCAGTAATGATAGGTGTAAGATTATAGGAGGCATTGTAAATATTGTACCTATTATATGATAGTTAACATTAAGGAATGATTAGTACAGATATACAACTGTTTCATTGTTGCTGGTTTAAGCTCTTGTATTAGAATAGCTTCTTTAATTTTTCATTTGTTTACTTTTTCTTTACTTAATATGTTAGTGTTTTCTATGATTATAATGTAGTTATTTGAGATACAGTGTTCAAAAACATGGGAGGGCGATTTTTTTGTGTTCATTAAATCTGGTTTCAATTTTTTGGCTTGTTTCTCCTATATAGAAATCATGGTAGTTCGTGTATTTTGTATACGATGTTGGTATTATGATTGTCAGAGTAGTTTTTACATAGTATAGATTTTGATTTTGTACCTGATTTTTGAATGAATTTTGTGTTCATTGGAATGTTATGTTTGGCTATGAGTTTTTTTCCAAATGTTAGTTATTTTGCCACTGATATCTGGAATGTATAGTATGCAGCTGTGTAGTGTTTTTTTGTTAGTTGTTTCATTGTGTTGTTGGTTGTGGTTTCTGTGAATAATTCTTTTGATAGTTTTTTGTGTGATATTTATTCATGTGATAAAGTCTTGTTTTATTTGATTGACTTCTTCGTTAAGGTTGTCAGGTGAGCGAAGTATTCTGGCTGTGTTTAGTAGGTTTTCTAGTATGTTGAGTTTTTGTTTTGTTTCATGTGCTGAGTTACAGGGAATGTACGATCCAGTATACATGATTTTTCTGTGGATTTTTGTTTGAAACTCTGTATTTATTTTTGTGATATTGATGTTTAGAATGTTAGTTTATTTTTAACTTTATGTTCAACAACCAAAACTACATACCAATAAATGGTTTAAGTATGGGCAATCTGGTGTCACCTATTCTAGCCAACATCTTTATGATACAGATTGATCTCAAGCCATCAGTTTGGCTTTACACACACCACTGTACTGGTACAGATATACAGACGATACATTTGCCGGATTCAACCTCGTTAACTCCATACACCCAAATATTAAGTTCATCAACAGCTAACATTCTATACCTCAGTAGCACAAGAACAAATACACAGTTTAAAACAAAAATCCACAGAAAAATCACTGGAGGTTGAAATGTTATTTGTTTGTACTTCTCAAATAAGTTTTCTATGCCCATATCAGCCATTATATATAAAATTAAATGATCTCCTCTCTCTTTCAAAAATGTAGTAATTACTTGTATTGTCACTTAATTTAACCATATTCAAGCTGTAATTATTACTTCCATTGTCACCTAATTTAACCATATTCAAGCTGTAATTATTACTTGCATTGTCATCTAATTTAACTATATTCAAACTGTAATAATTACTTGCATTGTCATCTAATTTGACTATATTCAAACTCTAATAATTACTTGCATCATCAACAAATTTAACCATATTCAAACTGTAATAATTACTTGCATTGCCACCTAATTAAACCATATTCAAGCTGTAATAATTACTTGCATTGTCATCTAATTTAACCATATTCAAGCTGTAATTATTACTTGCATCATCAACAAATTTAATCATATTCAAACTGTAATAATTACTTGCATTGCCACCTAATTAAACCATATTCAAGCTGTAATAATTACTTGCATTGTCACCTAATTAAACCATATTCAAGCTGTAATAATTACTTGCATTGTCACCTAATTAAACCATATTCAAGCTGTAATAATTACTTGCATTGTCATCTAATTAAATCATATTCAAGCTGTAATGACCACTTCTGGAAATATATAAACAAACATTGTACTAATCAGAAAGTAATATTATTACTGAAAACATCTTGTTACATCAATCGAAATATGTACTGAAATTCTTCACGTGAGTTTACAAAATACACATATCTGTAAATTCACATGTACTTTAATGTATAGAGTAGACATATAATAAGATTTTATGGTAAATTTAAAATGTTTTAATCTGTCTGTTGCAGATGTTATGAAAGTGATTTTTCAGATACCATGGTATAAAACTAAACTTTAGAACATATTTAAAGTCTGTACAACCTACTTTGCTAGGAACTTTTAGCTATATGAATCACCACGGTTACATGTCTATTTTGCTAAATCTACACCACTAGTCTTACAGAGCTGTTACCACCCTTCGATTGCAGGTACCTTGAAAATTGAAAGTTTGAGCATTTTAATCAACCTTCCTGGTTTTTACTGCTACTTACTGAATACAAAAAAACTATATTTCAACCCAGAAATGTTTCAGCTTGGACTAATGGGTGTGTAAGATATGAGGTAAATAAAACAAAAGCAACGAAGCAAACATGCGAGAGCTTTGCACATTTTATAGAATTTACCTCATTCATACAAGAAATGCTACAGTAGTGAAAAAAATATCATAAGGGGAGGGGAAGTGTTGCATTTAAAAATCTCTCTTAGAAATGAGGGTGGCCTGCACACCTAACAAGGCCTAAGTAGTGTTGTTCTATGAAACTTTAATATTACGCTTACATAACATCATATGGTATTTCTATTGAAACTGAATGCTAGCACCTGTTTTCATGCAGATTGTAATTGTTATCCCTTTCTGTTTGTCTTTATGTAATTTGATCAAGCATATTTTTAATGAAAGTAACTAATATTGCAGACTGCCCCCAAGTACAGTGTATCGAGAAATATGATGCTCAAGAACCAGATGAACTGTCATTGGAAGAATCGGATGTTGTAAATGTGTTTCGTAAGACAGCTGATGGTAATTTGTCTATATATATATAGTTTTTTTCTGCTTCTTCCTGACAGTCTACCTTGATCTGTGTTATTACTTCATATTGATAATTATTACATTCATCAATCCATAAAAATAGTGGACAAAAGGAGTTGGTGGTCATGTAGAATAAGAGAAATGTCATAAAAATAGTGGAGCAAAAAGGTTTTAATGATAATGTGAATGTATAACAGATATAATACCAGTTAACACAATACGTGAAGAGGTGAAAATGAGTTTCTACAATAAGTATTAAGAAGTCTGTCAGAAATTTACATCTAACAAACTGTATGTGTAGGTTAGATGTAAATTTTATATCGACTTACTTCCATAAACTGTATGTGTAGGTTAGATGTAAATTTTATATCGACTTACTTCCATAAACTGTATGTGTAAAACTGTATGTGTAGGTTAGATGTAAATTTTATATCGACTTACTTCCATAAACTGTATGTGTAGGTTAGATGTAAATTTTATATCGACTTACTTCCATAAACTGTATGTGTATGTAAGTCGATATAAAATTAAACTAAATTAAAATGTTTCTTTTAAAAAGTTATTTTGAATATTTTAAGTGTGTATTTTAACTTATTGGTTTGAAAATGTTTTAAGTATTTAGTATTGTTACAAGATTCTACTCAACCAGGACTGTTTTGTTCACACCTGTAATGTTACATTCTTCCTGTAGGGTGGTATGAAGGGGAACTGATTAGAGATGGAACAAGAGGGTGGTTCCCATCAAAGCATACATTGGAAGTGATCAGCTCTCACGTGAAGGCACGAAACTTACGGCAACGTTACCGGTTGCTAGTGCTAACACACACGCTAGTGGAAGAGCAACGAAAAGCTCAACTTGCTCAGCAAAAAAACAAAAAATCCTGAAACTTGTTGATGTTTTCAAAGATCATGTGGTTGTAACTCAGTTGTTATTATACTAATTTTACATTTATTTTGGTAATGTGAGTACTTTGGTATCAATTTCCATATCAATTACTATTCCCCAACTTATTTTGTATAATGAACTTGTAAAGGGACCATTTTACAGAAATATTTATATTAATTATTCTGTTCACAATTGCTCAGTTTTTATATATATATATAACTTTCATGTGTCATAAGTTTATCTACACGTTCAGTTAGTGTGTCACAAAAAAAGAAAAAATTTAGCTTTTAGTGTTGTAAAACAGTGGCAGATAACAAACAAGGATAAAGTTTCCAAGAACCAGAAGCATATGGAAATTAAAAGCAGGTTGGAAAAATCCATATGTATTTATTTACCTGCACTTTTTTGTATATAACTCATTATCAAATGACCTTCCTAAATAAGACAAGGTAATTTATAACATGTGCTGAAGCCTGGTACCTTTAAAGTACCAGGTCCAATTTAGAGTTACTTTGCCTTTCTGTAAACAATGGTAACTAGCTGGGAATATTTAACATGTGGTACCAGACTTCTGTTGGTTGTACTGGATAACATTTTTCAACAAGAAATGTATTAATCTTCTGTTGAAGTTTTGTATAAAAAAAAAACAGTTGAATGAAATAAAGAGTAGGAACAACCAACTTACTTAGTAATGTATTCTTTGTTCAGCTCTTTGTGATAAAATTGGGTACAGTTAGTAGTAATTGATCAGAGTAACTGAACCAAGGTGAAACTTTACTGAACATAGAAACAACTAATGATACATTAGTGGTAATACTATCAGCACAACTCGCTGACGTACATCAGTTTTACAGAGTATTACTTTTATCTATAACAGTTACTGCTCTTGTAGAGGATGCAACATCCCTGTTAATAGATTTGTCCAAAAATACTCATTTTTAAACATACAATAATAATCGTATGGTCAAACTTCCAGGGGGCTTTACCCCTACTAATGTGGGTGTATTTGTGACTGGTATTAGGCTCAGGAGTTGAAATGGGTTATTGAAAAATAAAGAACTGCCTAGAATTCACTTAAAAGTTCTAGAAAAATAGAAATAACAATATTCCATAAATAGAAATTATTTCTATATGTACCATAACATAATTTCTGAAATTAGCTACCCCCCCACCAACCTTTAAATTTTGATTGACATCCTGCATAAATGTCACTAATTTCTGTTTTTAGAAACCAATCCACTAACATACTCATTTCTTCAAACTTATACTTAAATAGTTTGTTTTTATTGCCATTCGTGACAGGAAAGTGGAACTCTGAAAAGCATCTGATTTTGACAACTACCACACATGACATTTCTCAACTGGGTTCATCATGGATCCCACAGGACAGTCAAATGTGTCAGAAAAGTCTGAAAGTTGCTGTAATGTAGACACTACTCTGTAAAACAAAACAAAAGAATGTTAAATAATAACTCTTCTACACGTAATATATATAACAAGTGGAGATATGAGGAATAATAACATTGAATGAGACACAGACTGCAACATTTAGTATTTTGTACATAGCTTTTCAAAACAGTTTAAAAAAAAGGAGTGTGTTTAAACCCAACTTGTGTAATTTAAATCTGAATAAATCACCAAGTAGACAATATTAAATACTCTGAACAACCCAACCTTCGTAATATAGGAAAATCTGGTATCTTAAAACAAAAGGTAACTAAATAAATCACCAAATAGACAATATTAAATACTCTGAACAACCCAACCTTCGTAATATAGGAAAGTCGGGTATTATAATACAAAAAGTAACTAAATAAATCACCAAGTAGACAATATTAAACACACTGAACAACCCAACCTTCGTAATATAGGAAAGTCTGGTCTACCAATACAAAAGGTAACTAAATAAATCACCAAATAGACAATATTAAATACTCTGAACAACCCAACCTTCGTAATATAGGTAAGTCTGGTCTACCAATACAAAAGGTAACTAAATAAATCACCAAATAGACAATATTAAATACTCTGAACAACCCAACCTTCGTAATATAGGAAAGTCTGGTCAAATACAAAAGGTAACTGAATAAATCACCAAGTAGACAATATTAGATACTTTGAATAACCCAACCTTCATAATATAGGAAAGTCTGGCCTTCTAATACAAAAGGTAACTAAATAAATTACCAAGTAGATAATATTAAATACTCTGAACAACCCAAGCAAAATAAAAATAAATTTTAAATTCAGCCCTTTTCGTTCATATTGTTACGTCTCCGTTTGT